ATTTTCTCGGTAAATCTTTCCTGACTTCTCCCATCCTTGCCAATTTCTTCTTTTTCTCCAAGATTTTTCTGAGGTCTCTAGTGCACAATCTACCCTTTCCCCGTCAGCTATGAAGTTCTCCAATAGTTCGTGTCATGTGTGATGTCTGCCCTACACAGAGTGTGAGCTCTTTGATACCTGGAACTTGCTTTATCTTTTTGTTCCCCTCACGGAGAATAACAGAAGACTGAGAAGTAGCTCCTGGCTGATAAGGCTAAAGAACAGGGCCCAGCGCATGTTTGCATTGGCCTCTCACCCAAGGCACCCTTCTCTGTCACCCCCCAGCCCCGCCTTCTGCTGAAGCTCCCTCAAAGCCCATTGCGTGACCGTTGTGGATGAATGTCTGCGTCCCCTCAAGATTCATATGTTGAAACCCTATCCCCAAAGTAATGGCATTAGGAGGTGGGGTCTTTGGGAGGTGACTGCAGTAAGAGGGGGCCGTGGAGGTGGAGCCCCCCCATCAACGGGATTAGCGCTCTTATAAAAGTCAGGAGAAAGCCTGCTTCTTCTCTCTGCCCTCTACCCTTTGTGTGGGTACAATAAGAAGCCGGCAGTCTGCAACCTGGAAGAGACTCTCACCAGAACCTGACCCTCCTGGCATCCCGATCTCAGACTTCCAGCCCCCAGACTGTTTGAAATCAATTGCTGTTGCTTACAAGCTACAAAGTCCCCAGGATTTTTGTCACAGCAGCCCCACCTGGTTAAGATGGTGTCCCTCCACCCTACACAGTCCATGTCTTGAGCTCAGCAGCCTTCCTCCAATTCAATCCTCTCCTAGCCCATCTCAAACTTACCATGCCAATGGAAGCACTTCCACAAGATCCAGTTAGAGGTGGGCCAGACAACCAATAACAAAAATAATCTGTTTCAAGCTGCCATTTGGTTATCGTACCTTGGGTTACCTTCTTCTATATAAACAGGCATCATCAGACAGGTTGTCTTAAGTAAAACGAGAATGTGTCTCTGCTTCCTAGAATAGCAGGGCTCGGAACAAAGTGCTAACCAGGTGGGGAACTCTCCTAACAGCCCCAATCAACCACAGGCCTTTCCTCCAGAGACCAGAACCCGCAAACCTCCAGATCTGGCTCACGGAGACGCGGTTATTTATTTATACAGCACACATTGCTGAGTCCTTCCTCTAGGCTCTCCCTACATTAAGTACCAGGGCTTTTGAGATGAGTGAGAAGGGGGCCCTGGCCTCGAAGGTGTCCAGAGTAATGAAGTGGTAAATGTTTTCTTTTTTTTTTTTTTTTTAAGATTTGTTTATTCATGAGAGACACAGAGAGAGAGAGAGGTAGAGACCTAGGCAAAGGGAAAAGTAGGCTCCCTGAGGGGAGCCCGATATGGGACTCCATCCCAGGACCCCAGGATCACAACCTGAGCCGAAGGCAGACACTCAACCACTGAGCCACCCAGGCGTCCCGGTAAATGTTTTCACAATTCGAGCCAAACGTGTGTGAATGTGCACTTACATCTATACACAGTATTTTCCACACATATGCACATACACACAGAGAGAGAGAAAATAGAGCTTGGGCTGAGAAAAGACATGAACAAAGCTACTGAACTGCCAAGAGGTCAGCAAGAGGAGGTTACACCAAATCTCAGACTCTAGAACTGTGTTTACGTGACCAATAATTACAGTCACTACGTATTTAGTGCTATTTGCAGGTCATGAACTGGGCTAAATGATTTCTAAGCTCTCTCCAGACAACCACCTTGCAAGATAGATTTTTTGTATCCTCCTTTTATAGATAAGGAAACTGAGGCTCAAAAAGCTTAGCTAGTTTACTCAAGATTATCTAAGTAGGAAGCAGTAGGACCAGGACTAGAACCTGGGTTTCTCTAAGTTCAAATTTTACTCCATACAGGAGAGGAGAAAGCATCTCAAACATCTACGTCAGGAAACAACAGCACCTCGACTGCAAACAGGTGGAGCCACTAAGCCCATCACTACTGACTGCTCAGCTTCCACCTGCAGACCCGGCAGCAGCACGGCCCTAGAGAGGCAGCATGAGATTCCAGCCCTCAAAGCTCACAAAGTGATGCTGAGGACAGACGAGGAGGCACAGGTGTGCCCGAGCGAGAGCCACAGTGTTCTGGGGGTGACCATTCTGGGAGATCAGTCCGGAAAGGTTCCTAGGGGAGGCTATGTCTAAGCCTGACCATGTGATGAGTAACAGAAGGGATGAGGCTGAGGAAGGTGACCTTTCAGTCTGAAAACATAGTCCAGAGGATCCATGAGCACATCCTGGTCCGGCAACGAGAGGGTTACATTCGGGATGAATGGAAGCTGGTCTTTTCAAGGAATCCAAGAAGCGTTCATCTTTTTTGCATAGCCAAGACAGAGAGGAGCAGAGGGAAGTGGTTATAATCACTGTCTGGGCACCAGATTGTTTCAGAAATTGGGAATATGTTTGCACTGCAAGTTCAGTGGTTCTGTGAAAATCCCAAATAGTTGTACGGCATTAGCTGCTCAAATCCCTGCAGCAAGAAGCGAGGAATACAAAGGCCAAAGGAGCCATGCACCACAGACCTTACAGGAGCCCAAAGCTGGGAAGGCATGTTTCCAGACAGTTGTCCGGAGGGCACATTCAACTCTTGCCAGGCAGCTTGACGCCACACTCCCTATTTTCTTCTACACGTGATACAGAATTGTATGCAGGAAGAAAACTATGTTTTGTTCAGTCTTCTTCACACGTCTTCCCGACTTCTCTCTCTCTCAATGACGGGAGTAACAATGCTACGAACCTTAGAAACGGCCAAGTCAGGGGCAGTAGGAAGCATACCTTTACTATTTATTGCACATGTTCTTCAGAGATTATGTGAGATTTGGGAACGTAAAGTGCAAGTGCATTGTCATAAGGAAAGTCAGTCCTGTAAATACCGACTAAAGTGTCATAATGAATGTCTCTGTTTTGATCAACTATTACACATTTGTCTTTTAAAAAAAAAAAAAAAATGCAGCTAACAGCGCTCTTTGCAGCCCCCCGGTGGTTAGAAGGGGAAAGAAAGAAGAAGGGGGACTCAGCAACTGTCATTCCTCTAGGGCCATTCAACTTTTTACATTGGAAAGACAAATGGCTTGTTTTCACCGCGAAATGAGTATATTCTAAGTGAAGGAGATGACAAATGTTGGTTAAAATGCAATAATTGTACACATAAACAGTGAATCAATGGTAGCCTGGATTTTTTTTTCTTTTTCATCTTCCTCTCTTAATCTCTGCAAAGCTTTCTATTCTGACCTGAGAACTCTGCAGTGCATAAGCACACCAGGTCCTCTGCCCAAACAAGCTTTCCCCTTTTCCTCACTTGATGCAAGCTCTCCTGTTTGCAGACATCTGCTTATAAATATTCCCTTTGTTCTGCTACAAAGTGATGAAAAAATCTTTAAAAACATGTCATCTGCCTGTTTAACAAAGTATCTATATGGGAGAAGGAGGGCAAAAGGTTTGGAAGCTCATTGTTTTTAATTCTTGTTTTTACCAAAACGGCATTCTCTCAGTATGATCCCTCCTATCAGGGACTCCTCTAACCACACTTTGAGACATTTTCCTAATGAGTTTTTCCTTGTCTTCTAAAAAAAAAAAAAAAAAAATTAAGAAAAGAAAGAAACTGCTTCTCAAGAATAGGGGTGGCGTGGCCGGATTGCTGAAAAGAAACAGGATGTCTGCTCGTGAATTAGTTTCAAAACCATGTCACCAAAAATGTAAGGTTAAAGGATCAGCAGGCACTCTCCTATTCTTCTCAAACGTATCATTCACAAGTTGTGGGAGAAGCATCCCTGAGGTCCGGGGGTAGCAAACCGTCGACCTCTCGCTCTCCTCAGCCTCCAGGTATACACCCCTCCCTGAGCCCCTGGAAGCTGTAGTCCAAAGCTCGCTTGCAAAACCGGGTTGCCTCTAGTCGGGAACCTGTTTATCTACAGGTGCAAACCCCTCCGTCCTTTGACGATGGTCAAACAAGATTTCAGCGACCCCGTTCCCGCCTCTTGGTTACCTGGCAGGTTTGGCCACAGCCCCCAAACCAAGCGCACACCCTGCTCGTCAACAGCGCGAAGAATCAACAAGTTACCACCCAGCTGGGCGCTCCTGCCTCCCCAGCGCCCCCCGCCACTCCGCTCCCCCTGCTCCTCCCTCTCCCCTCCCCGCCCCGTCCTGCCGGCACGTGACCGCCTCTTTCAGACCCGCCCTCCGGCCGCCCCTACCCCGGCGCCCCCGCCCCCTTGCACCCAGGCAGCTGTCAAAGTCCGCCGCTCGCCAGCCTACAGTCTCCCTGCAGCGCCGGGCGTTCCCCCGGACCTGGCTTCGCTCTGGGAGGGAGCAGCGGGGAGATCGGGACCGTCCACCGCACGGGGTGGGCGGGGGAGGGGCGCCAGGTGGGCGCCAGGTGGGCGCCTCGGCCCGCAGGTGCCCGAGCGCGGTCGGATTGGCCGCGGGGGGGCTCGCGTTCCCGGGGGAGCCTGAGGCGAGCCAGAGGGGGTGCCTCCCCGGAGCCTGCAAGTTTCCACCCACCTCCGGGCTGGGGACGCGCTCTGCTCCGTCCCCTGAAGGTGCCGCCGCGGATTCCCCCTCCGTCGGGGCAGGAGCCCACAACTGCCTCCGCCCCCCCCCACTCCGGCGCCCGCGCCCTGCTCAAGCAGTCCCCGGGCTGCAGCCCACGACGCCCCCACCCCTCGCCACAGACAGCCCCCAAAGTTGTCCAGACCCCGCAGCCCTCCCCTTCTCCTCCGTCCCTCGGCCCCGCCCAGGGCTGGGCTGGCGTCTGCAGGTGCGGCCTCTCGGGTCCCGGGCGCAGGGCGCTCACTTCGGGGACCCCGAGCGCACCGAGCGCACCGAGGCCGGGGCAGCTGCGGCAAGGGAGGGCGTGCAAACGCGGCGTGAGCCCGGGCGCCCGCGCTTGCACCCGCACGCCCGCCCTGCCTCCCTCCTCCGGCAGGAGGAAACTTCCCCAGCACCCACCTTTAGCCGCGAGGAGGCGGCGCCGCCGGCTGCCCCCCGCCGCCGCCGCCGCCGCTGCCGCTCCCCACGCCCAGCGCCAGCAGGAGCGGCACCCAGCACAGCCTCCCGGGCAGCATCCTCGCCGCCGCCGCCGCCGCCGCCCGCTCTCGCCCGCCGCTGCCGCCGCCGCCGCCGCCGCCGCCTCGCGCTGCCTGCGGGTGCGCTGGGGGCGCCGCCGCGCTCGGCCTCCGCCGCCCGCCGCCCGCCGCCCGCCAGCAGCCGCGCTCACTGGCGCGGACCCCGAGCGGCTCCGGCGCTCACCCCGGGACGGCCCGTGACGTCACGGGGGAGGGAGGCGGCTCGTGCATATTCATGAGCCGCGGACTCCGGCCCCGCTGCCCCGCCTCCGCGCTCCCGGCGCCGCGGCCCCGACCCCAACTTTCCTCCCGCGTCTCCGCGCTCCCGGGCGCTCGAGCTGCAGGGGGACGCGGCTCCCGGGGGCCGCGGCTGCGGGGGGGGGGGGCTCGCCTGCCTCCGCTCCGGCTCCCCGGATGGTCCCCGCGGGGAGGGCGGGCCCCTCGGAAAGCGGTCGCCGGGGGCGTGCGCGTGTCTGCGGGGCTGGGGCCGCCCCCGCCACGCCCTTGGAGCCGACGCCCGGGCGGAGGGCGGCGCGGGCTGCGGTCCTGCCCTCGGCCCCGCGTCTGGACGCTCCGCGCGCCCGGGCTGGGGCGGGGGGGGGGGGGGGCGGCGCCAGGGCCCGCGGAGACCCGCCGGGCCGGACAGGTGGGCCCCCCGGGCCGCGAGGGCCAGGGCCGGCCTCCGCCCCGGGATGGAGCGGCAGGTGCGGGCTCCCCGAGGCAGGTGGAGCAGACCCGCACAGGCAGGCCGGGGCTTCCGGGCCACTGGTGCGGCCCTAAACTTCCCTGCAGTACGGTGCCTTGAGGCAAGAAGTTACCGCCTTTCTGTGGTCACCCCACGTACCTAAGGCCAGGCCGCCTGACGTCACGCCTCGCTCGTAACGTTTTATGCCATTAACTGTCAGTTCCTGGGAGCAGGGGCGACGCGCGCCTGTGGATCCCCTCCCACCCCGAGGCCACGCAAGGCTCGCAAAAGCTCTCAGTTAACGTTGACGGCTCAGAATAAACCCTTGACATATGTGCAGATAGGCAGGGCCAATGTCGCGCACAACCCGGGATTCGTAAGGAATAAAGAAATTCAGAAACAAAAAGTTAGTTATTCACGGACGCAGCACATTTACTGAGCACCTAGACAGGTGGTATTACCTGCCACTGGGCACTGGGCTCGGCAGGCATCAGAGGTCCAATGGCCAAAAAGAGTTGTCTGTCCTCTCTCAAAGCCTTTGTTTCCCCTCTGACAAGCGAGAGAGGGCAGTACAAGGCAATTACAGTGCTCTGTAAATGTTATGGTCCTGCACATTCTTTATGTTGCTAGATATGAGCCTATACGAATCAATTAACAAAATGTATATATTGCAACAGTGTCTAAACAGCATCCTATAATTAATAACTGTTGTTTAGGGTGCTCCACAAAGCCATAAAATCCATTAACAGCCCTCCTGCTGCTCAGGCTTCCAGCACCGCCCTGGCAGCTCACCCAGCAGTTCTAAAGGCCAATTCTTCTGCATCTCCCTGCTTGGGCTGGCAGGGGAGACAGGGGCGGCACCCCACCCCCACCCCAGCAGTGAAGCACAGCGGCTGCAGACAGGCTCAGACCAAGCAGGGCACTTCACTGCAGGTCTCTTTAACCTGCACAACCACCACTCCGCGCTATTATTATTTTCATTTCACACATAAGGAAATAGAGGCTCCGGTAAGTTAGGTAACATCCTTGCTTGCCTAAGATCAAAGAGCTAAATAAATGCACTAGGCCAACGCCAGAATCTTGCATTTTGCCGACTTGGTATCCAGATCTAGAAAAGATGGCAAGGAGAAGGGCAAGCTGACCCAGGCAAAATCGAGGAGACCAGCAAATACAGGAGAAGTATAAATCTGTCTCATTTCCTTCCATTTACACTCCGTCTAATTGCATATCTACCTCGCCTTCATTTTCCCTAACCATTAGACTTCCTTTAATGACTGATCTGCGCTGTTCCTTGATATCATTCTACAGGGTTTCATTAGGACCCGTTGGTTATGGTTAGTCTCAAAAATTTTACATGAGATTTCAAATGCAGACTAAATAATGAGAAAGAAGAGAAAATACAGCTGATTGGAAAACATCCCCCACCCAAAGTAGCTGATCACCAAGAAAGAACACAACAGAGAGACACCAAAGAGCAGGCCAGTGACCAAGAGGCACAGTATCACTGGCCTCCGTCTCCTCCTCTACAAATGGGGTTAAAAGCAATGCCTATTGAGGGAGACAAAGTGCACTAGTGGCCCCCATTTGTTCACGTCTCCCTAATTCCATTCCCTTCGGATATGCTGTTCTATTTCAACTTAAACCTTGGCCATGTGACTTGCTTTGGCCAGTAGGACAGTCACACGCCTGTTTCCTTTTCCTTGCCTTGGACCTCTGCCACCATCATAAGAACAAGGCCAAGCTAACCCTACAGGAGGGTGAGAGACCGTATAGAGCAGAGCTGAGCTGTCCTGCCAGCCAAGGCCAGCCCAGGCTGGTCAGCAGCAATTGACTCCCAGCTGAGCACAGTTACATGAGCAAGCCCAGGAAGATCAGTCACGCCTTGCCCACATCAGAGCTACCCAGTTGACTCATAGGTTCTTGTATTAAGCTGCTACATTTGGGGCAGGGGGCTTGGAGGGGGGTTGATTAAGAAGCATTACACCTACTGCATAAGGTCATTACAAGAGAAAAATGAGAAAACGTATGTGAAATATTCAGTATGTTGCCTGGCACAGAGTCAATGTCCAATAGATATAAAAATGCCCCCCCCCCATCTTTATTTCTCAAGTCTCTGAAATGCCACTTATAACTCGGTTTTGTTTGGGACAAAGGCACCAACCTGTCTGAGGGGATGAAAGTGAGTAAGTTCAGCCCTGGAAATACTCAGGCCTCAAGAACTTCAAGTCCACGTCAACTGTGTGGAGCACTTCTGTGCTCGGTGCTTCTTCTGGGCCACTGCAGATGCAGAGAGCGGGTAAGGGAACCCAATGGTTAATGCATCACATGGTGCCAGGCTTTGCAGTGGGGGGTTGACATTCCATACTTCCCTTAATCCTTGCAACAGCAGGTATTATTTTCCCTATTTTATTATAACCAGATTACTGGCTTAGAAAGTTTGAGTAACTTATCTACATTCATGTAATTATGCAGAATATGAATTCGTGTCTGCCTAATTCCAAATTCCATCTTTCTCCCACACATCATTGTTTTGAGAAGGCGTGTAGAAAAAGTAAGCAGTGAAAAATAGTTTTGTATCAGAAAAGGTAGCTTTGGCTATTTGATTTTTTTTTTCGTCTTTATCCACCATCACCTCTGAGTAATAAATAACCAGCTGTCACCAAAGTAGTAATACAAATCTCCAAATTTGTTGAGGTCCTACCCTTTATTTTTGACTTACTATTGGCACATGTTTCTTTAAAGACCAGGCTCAGAATATGGTAAGCAGGATGGGTCACTTTAAGCCCCAAGCCCAGGGGTCCCACCTGGTGGTGCAGTAATGAATTTCAAACAATTTATTTGGGTCAATAGATTTTAATAAATAAATAATTTTCCTGTTCCAGAAAATACAATCTAAGAGGAACAGGCCCAACATAAGACCAGCCAAACCCTCCTGTTTTCACTAGGGTCATTAATGCTTTGCCCACTTAAGCACCAAAACACAGCCCCTGAATAATTTAAACTGGGTAAATGAAGAAAATAAATAAATTACAGCAGCTTGTGGAATCTTCTTTTTAAAAATAAAATTAATCAGAGGTTTTCTGGTTTTAATTTAATTCAATTAAAAGTATTTAACTATAAAAGAAAGGTTGAAAATCTGATCCTTGGAGACCTGAGGCCATTAATTGTTCCCCTCCCTCATCTTGGCAGGTAAAGCCAGGTTTTCATGACCCAAAAGCAATTGGACAGGTTACAGAATTTCTAACATCTCTCAGATGTTTTGATGCTAGTGCAGACACTGCTGCTGCCAAAGGAGCTTTTTAAAGTTTAGGCATTTCTCTTCAGGAAAAAGCAAGACAAGCTTGTTCGTGACCAAATCCAGCTCATGTTCAACACTATTTAGACATGAGTGTTTTATGCTTGGCAAGGCAAAGTGCCCCGACTAAAAACAAATATGTCATTGATCATAGCAAGGAATTAGTCCAGTATTCTCTCCTATACTTCCCTTGGACTTGTGTACCTTGAAGCAATTAAAAACAAAACAAAACACAATCATAAAATCCAATGACACTTCTCCCATTGAGGGATAGAATCTCTCTCTCCTGCCCTTGAATCTGAGCAGACTTGTGACTGCTTCTTCCCACAGAATTCAACTGAAGTAATGCTTTGTGACTTTCCAGCCTAGATCATAAAGGTGATGCAACTTCTGCCTTTCTCACTAAGATGCTCACTTTTGAAGCCTAGGGCCACCAGGTACAAAGTCCGACTACCCTGAGGCTGCCATGCTGTGTGGATCTCAGGCCATGTAGGAAGGCCACATGCAGGTGTGCTAACAGCCCCAGCTGAGTCCAACATTTGAGTCATCCTGGAACCTTCAGAGAATTCCATTTCTTAGCTGCTGACTCACCTCCAGCTGTTTGGATCTTGCCAGTTGAGTCCTCTGACATCATGGAACAGAGTGAAGCCATTTCCACTAAGCCCTGCCCAAATCCCTTGACCCACAAAATCCATGAGTGCAATAAAATGACTGTTTATGCCACTAAGTTTTGGGGTGGTTTATAATGCGTCAGGAATAACTGGAACATACTTATTTTCGTTTGTTCCCTACAATAAAGACAGGGGACAGGAAAGAATACTGAGGCAAGTCCTATGTGATTAGTCCCATTTTGTAGCTCAAATGTGGAGACTTGTGAAGGCCAAGAAGAGTGACCAATAGAGCTTCGTGTGAAGAGAGTGACTTCCAGAATCAAACAAAGCTGGATTCCAAACCCAGTTCTACCATTTTCTAACCACGTATGACTCAAGAAAGCTACTTACTCTGTTAGGAACTCAGTTT